TTTTGACGATTTCAAGTTCGGCAATTGTGTTTTTCTTGTAGTATTTTTCAAAAAAAAAAAAAAAAAAAAAAAAAAAAACGATCAATTATGCCACGTAGTAAACAGCGATCATCGTTTGATCAAGCATCCGAGATCGACAGAGGAAGGATAGTGACCGACCGAGAGTGTGGATTATCTTTCAGGGAAATCGTGGTCGTGTTGGATGAAACCAAACAACTGTAATGCGGATATGTGACCGTTCGATACAGGAGGGTACGACGGACCGACGTGTTCGATCGCATCCACTTCAGTGCACCACTTCACGTGATGACAAGAACACTGTGCGCATGGAAGTGACGGATCGCTCAGTCACATCACGAACTATAGCACAACACATTATTCAGTCTGTAACGCATCATCCAGTGTCTGCGCGTACCATTCGACGTCGTTTACAGCAGAGTGTCCGCAAGATGTCCATTGCTTCGTCTACCCTTAACGCAGAACCACAGACGTCTCCGCCGCCAAAGGTGCAATGAAAGAAGGATGTGGACGGCAGAATGAAATGAAATTGTCTTTACTGACGTGTCACGCTTCTGTCTGCAACACCACGATGGTCAGATTCGAGTCTGGAGACACCGTGGAGAGAGGAGGCTAAACAGCTGCGTTATGCACCGCCACACTGGTCCTGCACCAGGTAGCACATTTCACAAGTGCACATCTGTGTAGCTACCGAGGGAGTGGCTTCTAATAGGATGGACCAATGGGAATCCAGTAATATTATTGTCATATCACATGACTTTTCGCGTGCTTTAAGATTCAAGTAAGATTGTTGAAAATGTAGTTTGCCACGCGATTTTCTGTACAAAAGCATCGTCGATTTCTTCTGAAAATTTTCGTTGCTAAGTTAGATCAGATATAAGCAATTGTGAAGATTTCACTACCTGGTTGAAAGAATTTGAAGTAAATACAAACACATGTTGGATACTCCGTAAAAAGTATTCATGTGAAATATTATTTAATAAGTGGTAAATAAAATGAAGAAAAAATATGTAATAAACATTTGAGCCCAAATGCTATCTTTACATAAAAGTATGCATGTGCAAAAAATATTTACACCAATTATATATGTAAATAGAAATCAGCACTTTTTATTGCAGTCTATATGAAAAAGATGTTCTATAATAATAGCCAATGCAGAATTTTATTCAAAGTGAATTTCAATTCAAAGTATATTTTTCGATGTAAAGAGCGATAATATGCCATAAACATCAGTCCAAATATTAATGCGTGATAAAAAAATCGCAAAATTGAAATATTAGCGATTAATTAAACTCATAAAAACGAAAGAACTACGAGATTTTCTACTATTACGCCATACATTTACAACTGCGAAACAAATGCAAATTAGAACGTAAACTTACGCTCACATGCCTGAAGATTTAGCGTCACAAGAGTGATAGAAGCTCATTGGTCTATTTTCGAAACCCCGCGACTACGCTGATGTGCACTTGTGAAATATGCCACTGGGTATTATGGTATGGGGCGGTATTGGATATTACCGGTACTTTATACGGCCAGCGATACATCTCCGAGATGTTGGAGCCAGTTGTCCTTACTTACCTTCAGGGCTTGCCCACAGCCATATTTCAACAGGATAATGCGCGACCACACGTGGCACGCATTGTCCAAGGGTTCTTCGTGAATCGCCAGATTGAATTGCTTACCTGGCTGGCTCGCTCTCCAGATCTTTCGCCGATAGAAAACATGTGGTCCATGGTTGTTGAATGATTGACCCAGATTACATCCCAAGCTGCGACACCAGATCAACTTTGGCAACGTGTGGAAGCTGCTTGATCTGCTGTACCCCAAGAACACATCCAAAGTCTCTTTGAATCAATGCCGGAGTGCGTGTGGAGCGTGATTCTCCAACCATGGCGGCTACTTTAGCTACTGATTCTAGAAGAAACCACACTTCACAGAAGTCTATAAATTTAATCATTTGATACTTGATCAACATATTATCTACTAAATTAATTTTGTTGTGATATCTCTTGTCTTTCTTGGTGTTGCAATTTGGGTGGCAAGCAGTATATTTTTTGGAAACACTATTATATTTCTGGTGTTTATATTAATAAGAATTATGAATGCGTTTTTGTGGCGTGCGTCGCCTGTGATTTTGTTCTTATTTTTGTTATATTCTAAGCTTGAATAAGTTTATTTAAACCATTACTTTGAACAATATTCGACATGTAAATACTTCGATAAAAAATGTGTAATTAAATATTAATCATTTACAAATTAATATTTAATTAATTAATTACTTATTTAATGTCAATTATATATCAATGATTTTACAATAAATGTCAATGAGACATATCTCAAATTCAGTAAATACATATAAATATGAATAGATAAAATGTGCGTTAATTCCTTAAATGCCTAATACATAGATATATATATAGGCTAATCTTCCATAAGCGGGGTAAACTGGTGCCAAACTATTTTGGTTTTCAAAATTTGGCGGCAATGAGAGTACTAAGATGTGATTGTTAAACGTAAGCAGAATAGTAACTTTTAAGTTTTGCAGTAGTAAAACGCAGTTATGTAAACAAAGTAGTAAAATGAGATGATATTATATGAGTAAAACAAAGTCCATCACTTTTGCAAGTAAAAATATAGTCCTATCTATGTAATTCATGATAAAACAGTATAATGAATAATAAATTGTATAGTACTTTCCTCGGACTCCAAAATTGTCAACCAAGTAAATATACTAATTCAGAAGTCAAACAACAAAATTCAGCGTTATGTTTTCAAATTTTCACAGGACTAGTGATGGTTTTACCGAACCACCATTCTCAACTGCAAATGCGCAAATGAACGAGATAGGATATAATGATTAGATAAGATAAGAAAGCCTGGACAAGAATAAGCAAGTGGCGCCATCTGTTGGTGAAACCAGAACTAAAACATCATTTCTTTAAAGGCCGAAGGCAAATTTGGATTGGAATTAGGATCGTTAACTAGAACAGAAAGATTTTTATGAATGTGAAATGCCTCTAGAAAATCCAGTTCTCCAATGGAAGATGTTTTTTGAATAATTTTGGCAGCAGAAAAATTGAAAGTTTGGTTTTCGGACCAACAATGTTGGGCAACAAAAGACTTCTGTGTTTCCTTTTTTCTAACATATGCCTCATGTTCCTTGACGCGAAATTTTAAGGCTCTCTTAGTTTGGCCAGTGTAAACTAAACCACACTGGCAAGGAATCCTATAAATACCCCGGGAATTCATATCCGGAATGGGGTCCTCGGAATTTTATTGATGGGATAATGAACGACCCGAAAGTTAAATTTCTTCAAAATATGTTCAACTTTATAGCTAATTGATGGAAAGAAGGGAATGATAACAAAATTTTTATAATCTCCTAAAACAAGAGTGTGCCTTTTAGTGTGTTGAGATGAGAATTTTTTAACTGCTTGATTCATAATGTTGGGTGAAAAGCCCCTGTCAATAGCTATTGCTTTTAAATAATTTAGTTCTTCATCAAGAGATAGTTTGGAGGAGCAAACTTGAAGAACACGGAAAACATAGGAATAAAATGAAGATAACTTTTGTTTAGTCGGGTGACATGATTTAAAGTGTCGAAGGCAAACCGATGAAGGTTTACGGTAAATCGTAGTACTGAAGTTGGATGTGCTCGTGTCACCAGAATGTCGAGAAACGGAAGAGAATTGCAAGTCTCAAGTTCAAAAGTGAACTGAATAGCAGGATCAATAGAATTCATTGTTGAAAGAACTTTATTTAAATCATCTTTATTACTTTCAAACAGGGTAAAAGTATCGTCTACGTAGCGGAATCATACCGCGAAGTTTAAAGTTTCAAACAATTTTCCGTGCTCTTCAAGTTGACTTGACTTCAAGTTTCCATGCTCTTCAAGGAGAATTTAAATCATGAATGACTAAGTTTCAAACTTTGAAAAAGAAATTAAAAATTAAAAACAAAGTAATTATCGCTATTAATCGGAAATTAATTGACTTTTCAAGGGGAATAAATCAACTCCCGTTAATGAACAATAATTGATAAATGCGAAGGTGTTTCGTCTCTTACTCGAGTAAGAATTATGATGCCAAACTGGCAAATTAAGTTAGGCAAAAATTGTAGTTCCGTGAAGTGATGGGATTTATAACCAAAGTGCGGAAATGCTTCATTCAGAATGCCAAAGAACTCATTCTGAATGAAGCATTTTCGCTAATACAAGATTCTTTATAAAATTAGAGTGAAAAGCAATTTATGTAGTAAAATTTACAAAATACTTCATTAAATGTCCCCAGACTCTTTCGCTTTTATGCATGTTGATTCAAGATTATTTCTATAAAAATAAACAGTAGTAATCTTAACTGGAATTATGAAATAATTTTGTAATCTATTTTAAAATTCATATATGACAAGAAGAAGTGAGAGAAGTTCATCTGAACAAAGGAAGGAGACAATAATTAAGATTTCTGTGTGAAACAAGTACTGCAGAAGAGATCAACCAAAATAGGACTCTAGCAAATAAATAAATTTAAATATCAGCCAAATTACATTCCAATCACTAGAGAAAAGTTGGTAAAGCTGTCAGCACCGGACAAAGAGATAGGTACTGAATAAATAGCCTTAATTTTAATTTCTTTAAAATTTATATATTACTATATATCCTTTCAAGTTTCTATAAAACTCATTTCTACTGAAGCAAAAACGAGCAAAGGTAACTTTAGAGCTAAATCTTGAACAACAAATTCTGTAACGAAGTTTGGGAGGTTCTTAGTGAAATACTAAATTACTGTGGAAGGCTTTGGAAATTAAGACTAATTCTACATAGTAAACAATATTTGAGGCCTATATGTTTCAACTCCAAGTATTCGAATTTTTCTTTTCCCAACGAAAACAGAAAATATCTTAAAAGGAAACTAAAGATTATCTGCTCTTGGATGGCCGGTTCGTATCTATTTATGTTCAAGTCAGTTTTGTTTATTATAATTTGGCAACACATCTCGTATCCTAAGAAAACTGCGCATGCGCAATATTGTCTGTTTGGATATGGTGAAGCGTATTGCAAATACTTAGGAAGCTTTGGAATACCAAAATTTCAAATTGAGGAGGCATAAAAAATGTCTATTTTTGAGGTTAGTAATTTTATTTTGTTGCTAAGTTTCAAAATAATGTTAGAAAGTGTTTTTATTTTAGATTTGGATTATGTTTTTGTAAATTTTCGTTTTATATGTATTGTATTTTGCAGAATTAATTTCTTTTTTGAAGTTTTGTTATAAATTCTTTACTTATTAATATTCAGTCTGTATTACTTAAAAATGGCATGTATATCGATTTATCATACTGAATACTTATGCGTATGCTACTAATTTTACATGTTTTTCCATCGAATTCGTGGTTGTACGTTCCATGGAATTCATGGTTGTGCGTCATTTATTTTCACATTAAATCTTATTAACCTCTTCACATTAAGTATATTAAAGTATTTTAAGACTATAAAATTCACATGCTTTCCTGAGCTAACTGATATGCGTGTTGAATTCTACTAAAATGGTAATATGATGAAGTGAATCAATGCAAATTTATATTGGAAGATATAAGAAGAAATTTATAAGAATTCTAAGAAATTTATAAGAAAAATTCGAACTTGCATATGTATCTTGTATAACTCAAAATGACTAGTTGAAATTTTGTATTTGCTGTTACAAATTGCTAATTGATGCTAAGAAGGGAACACAACGGTGCACAACTAGATATGCAACGTTTTTTTATTGTAATCGTTATTGTCAAACGTATATGTAATGGAAGCGGAATTTAAAAGTAATGTTGTCGAAATATTGATGGTTCAGAATGTTGATCCATAATGAAGAGCAACTTGGACAGCCGGGGCAGATTAAATATTCATCATTATTTTAAAAAACATATTGCGGCCACAAGCAACTTGGCACACTACTTGTGCCTGTTTTAAAAAATATATGTTTTTTATAGCTTTGCAGTAAGAAGAGAACATACCACCTTTGCCAAATTGTAAGCAATTACGTTGTATTAGATTGATATCTTAATTCAGGGTTAATTCAGAATGAATTCATTTCGCTTCTCAGTGTATCTGATTGGATAATTAATACTACTATAAAATTATTATTGTCTCTGAGTTTTAATTCCATTTACTTCACCAGTATTAGGTAAGAGGTTATATGCCATGGATGATTAGTCTTGAAATGATGCAGTGCAGGAAAAATGTTTAGAATAAAAAGGGAAATACCTAATTAAAACTAAGCATTAAGTGGCCATTGTTAATTTAAATTGTAATTTATATTTATATATTTTTTGACCTTCCACATATATGATGTAGTTTTTGCAGAAGATAAAACTAGTTACCTAATTGATCATGGTTAAAGTGGTAACAAATGTGACGCGCAGTGAAGCAGATGTCATGAACTCTTAAAAGAACCGTAACATCCGTGGATAAGTGCAATATATATTTATTACTTGATGATTTTGCTGTTCAAACACCATATTAAGTAGCATAGCATAATGGGGACGATCTGTTCCCCCAAAATTTTAAATATGCACTCGCATTTTTTTTTTTTAAACAGTAGAAAAGGAAGTTTAAGTGAGAGATGGGTCTGTTCAAGTAGCAGCAAGCAAGAAAAAGTTATGCATACTAACTGTGGTCATATTTATAAGCCACAAAATCTTTGTTTCATTCCTGAGCAGCAATTGGGCTAAAGATTTCGCAGTGCAGAGAAATTTCAAGAAAAGAAATTTTGTTTGTGTATTTTATACACACATATATGAGAACTTCAAAATTTATTTTAAAAACTAAAATTCTGCACTATGGCTGCTAATATTAAAAAAAATTTATATTAATAGAGAATATATGTATATGATTAGATTATTCCCTAGGAAATGTGAAGGAAATTTAGATGTAAAAGTATAAAAGGTAATAATGATATAAAAGGAAAATTTTGAGAATTAATATTGGTTAAATTATGATTTAATTTATGAAATACAAAGGTAAAACATATATACTAATGCAAATATTTGCATAATGTAATATTTTGCATATCAATTTTGAACCACTGTTGAACGTTTTCAATAGAAACTAAATTTTCAGATTCATCACTATCTGCAGAGGAATCTGAGAAATTCTCATCAGTTTTGCTATAACTATCTTCAATATACTTGAAATCAGAGTCAGAACTACTATCAGTGTCGGAAATGTCATCAGGAATAAAGGTTATATCACTCGCGAAACGCTTCCTGCCAGACATATTTGAGCTCTGAAAAGCGTGCACAAAATGCTACATTACGTATTCTTGTATATTTGGCAGAAATGTGGACAATTAGCGCTATCTGTTAGCCCACATCTAAATAAACAATTAAATATCACAGAAAAGCCGAAAAGAAACCTTGATCGGGGAAAGAGCGGCTTGCACAGTTAAATAGACAGCAAAAATTCATTCTCGCGGTAGTCGCGGGTTGCGCAAATTTTGCTACTTCTACGTTGCCCGTGGAAATTGCGGGATGCACAGCAAGAGGGTTAAATTCTAAATTAATAAAAATTTAAGAAATAGTATATTTAAACAATTAAAATCGTTGTCGATTCGAAAAAAAGATGCTGACTTTTCAAAAGGCATAGATGATTTTGTAGAGGGATACCAATTCCCTTTGGAAGTCAACAATGATTTTAGTTGTTTAAATATACTTTTCTTTAAATTTTTAATTGGTAAATGTTTACAATTGAGTGCCTCCTGTTTTTTGGCAATTCTTTTTTGACGCCAAGATGGCCGGTACGCAAAACCAAAATAAGAAGTCAACGAATTGCACAAACTCTGAGTCCATGTATACATTGATCTGTTTTCACTTAAAAAAAAAATCCTAGAATTGCACAAACTAGGCATTGCACATTCCCTTAAATTTGTCCATGTACACATCAATCTATTTTCATTTAAATAAAATCTGGAAGTTAAAACTATCAAGGTAACCAGAAGGGAGGTTTCATCGCCAAAATTTAAAAAAAAATTGTCTCTAATTGAAGGGGCACTCAGTTCTACAGTAGAGCCTTTTAATTTTTTATTAATTTAGCATTTAATAAATTACAAATTCCAGTTTTGGAGTTTCACAGTAGTAGTATGCCTTTACTATTTAAATTTTCTTCATGTTTCCTAGAAGCTAATCTAATATATATATGCAAGTTCAAAAGAAATAGAAATTGTGATTATCCTAGCTGGGGGAAAAGGTTTAGGGTAAATATAGCATGTCTTATAAGGTATTTCTCCTGCCTTCTTGGCATGCCTTCATTTTGTTTCAAACAGAATTGTCAAAGTGTCTGAAACACCAAACTGGGTCGATTAATCAATGCTGAATAACATATTTCGTTCCTCATGACAGTGTAAGACCTCAAACCGGTATCTATCTATGTGTATGCCCTTATCTATCTAACCATGCCCTTATCCAGCTTAAAAGTCCTTACCTGGCCTTTATTTTTGCAATTGTTTGTTATAGTCATATACTTTCAATATTTCAATCACTCTCTGACAATTTATAATAAGCTTCTACTGTAGCTTTTTAAAAACATATGCTCAGAGTTAAGTCGAATATAAAAAAGAAAAACTTATTTCTTGGTTAAAGATACATGTACTTTAAATACAGAGTTAAAGCATGTTTATAATATTTTAGTGATTCTTCTAGTTTTTAGTCATCTTATTTTTGTATCTATTTATTTAATATTTTTATACAAACATAAACAGTTTCTTCTGAAAACAGTTTAGGAATATTTTTGTAAATTCTTTAGTAATATCTTTTGAAACTTAAAACTTATTTTGGAATTGCAGTAATATCGGTTAGCATTGTCAAATTAACCCTTTTCAAACAAAAAATAAAAATTCTGTCAATGGGAAGGAAGCAGTTATACTTTCCCCACTTCATTTAAACTCTCCTTCCAAGAAAGGCAGTCATTATTTCCAATCATTTAATTTAATGTTTGAGGTTTTTAATGCTTAAAAATTAATATACAATGCAAATGTTTATTGGACTGGAAAGCTATTTAAATGAGATTAATAGCATTGTGCTTATATTTTCTTTAAAATTTTAGTTATGTGTTATATATACAGTACAAAGTCTTTAATCTGGACTCGTCGGGACTTCGGCAATTCCGGATTATAGATCGTCAATTTAAATCTGGTAAGATGGCATGCAGAAATTATAAAATTAAAGATATGAAACCGTAATTTATGAAATAAAGAGCAATTATGATCTAAAGGGTATCAAAATTTGCAAAAATAAAAAACTTAATATTTATTTGTTTATTAAACATTTCTTCCAATGTAAGTTGTTTAAGTTGCTTCGTTTTTTGTGCTAATACTTTCTCTTTAATTCTATAAACAGACATAATTTCTTGTTCAGTTCCACTGTTCAAGTCCTGTAATTGCTGTGTCGAGAATATCGACTAACTTGTTAATCGAAATTTTTTCGTTTTCAATAACCTCTCTGTAACTTTCTTCACTATCGGAAGTGGTACATCGAAACAGCTTTCACTTTGTAGATCCTTTGGCAGCTGCAGAATCGGAAACTCTTTTTGACATAATCGAAAGTTCAAGCTTACTTGTTATAAAATTGCTCTAACAGTCTGCCAAAAATAATAAGCTGGATCCACTTAGAAGATTAAGGAACAACGCAATCTGCAACATTAACTGAAATAAATAATTAGATAATTTTAGCCTAGCTTATACCGTCCGTTATACATTAAACGCATATGCGTAAACGTATTATGTGCATGCATGAACGCATTATGCATTGACGCATGCGCAGAAAGTTTGTAGCTTTGAGGTCTGGATTATAGATCATTCCGGATTAAAGACTTTGTATTATATATATATATGTCATAACAAAAGGAAAAGACAGAGCACTGTTGATGCGTAGTTATCCTATGTTGAAGAGGAAGTATTCTGATTGCGTCGTAAGCTTAACTTCGTAAATAAAACTTGGCAGACAAGGCAATTCTAATTCCATTTATATTTCCAATTGACATTATGTGGCCACAGATCACTCGGCACCCTATTCGTGCCTGTTCAAGAACATTTATTTACATTATTGATATTTTTGCAATAGGAAGCAGCGTAGTGAAATTGCATTCAAGCATACCACAAACAGAAGCTGAGGTGTGTAGTTTATGAAAGATGGAAGCACGTGAAGAGAAAAGTTTTGGTTTAGAATGGTAGTTTCAGTTCCTAATTATTACGTCATGAGAGCTGTGCAGGCCATAGAATGAGAGAGGGAGAATTAATGTTTTACCATTAGTTTAAATTATAATTTTGATTCACATATTTTTTATCTTACATATTTCCCTCCTTCAAAGAGAAAAAGGCATGGCGACAGATATTTATAAAAATGCGTAGATGAAAACAGTGGAACTCTTAACAGCTTACAATACTGCATAGATGACAGAGAAGACCGTAGTGGCAGATTGTAAAGCATGATGATGCAATTTAGCACAACATATCTTGAAAAATCACAATCTTTATTTTTTCCATGCATATCAAATCATCCTTTTTAAGATAAGATGTTTCCTAATTATATTTGAATACATAAATTGCATTAGAGCACCATCTTAAGTAAATAAGCAGCAGCAGCTTGGTTTAAAAGTGTCTTGCCAGCAGGAGAGCTGTGTGGAAAAAGGGGAAGAGTTACAGTACTTTTAGACGAAGAAGGTGGTTGGGAGTGAAAAAGTTTCAGTTCAGAGTTTTGGTTTACAATTAATTTGACTGGACAAGAGGTATCTGCATTAAAACGTTACATAAGATGGAAAAATCTGGAACCTGTGAGATGAGATGAATTTAGGGGCAGGTCACCAAATTTAGAATGTTAATTTTGAGGTCACCAATTATTTGTTTGAAACAGCTATTATATTTTGTTATATTTTACATATATATAAATATAATTGCAAAACAGTTGAGAAAACAAAAACAAAAAAATATAATCATGTCTAGAATTTTCATGCATTAAGCTGCTGAAAAATTATCAGTGAAGACATAAAGTAAGAAATTTAGAACCAATTTTTCACAAAGACCAGAAATTGAAATTCATTATTATATATATATGTTAATAACATAGTATGTATGTTTTCAGCTTCTTAGTTTTGTTATATGGAATTAAATCAGTTGTCATTAATTTTGTAACAATAGGCTGTTTGCACTTTGGCAATTATCTTTGCTTACATTTTTTTTTTTTTTTTTTTTTGTTTTTGTTTGTTTTTTTTTTTTATAGGATCATACTCATTTGGGCTTTATAAATGATAGGATAAAAAAAGCTGAAAAAAGATTGGAGCAAAATCCATATGATGTTGAAGCATGGAGTATTATTGTAAGGGATGCTCAGGTAAATGAAATAGCATAATTTTAGAGTTTAAGATGTTTTATACTGCTGAAAAAAAAAAAAAAAAAAAAAAAAAAAACTGCTAGAATCAAAGACATATAAAATAATCATAATCTTCTCATCAAAGTGAATATACAAATATAATATTTGTGTTTAGAGTGAAAAGTCAAATATAAAATTCTAAGTTATTTATATTAAAGTTGGAAATTTATAAGAACAAATATTATAGGGTACTGTTCTGTTATCGAGACCAGATTGAGAAATGTATGAATGTATGCGTGTGTATATGTATGTATGTGTAAATGAATACATATACATACATTTGTGCTTACATATATATATGCATACATGAATACATCCATCTATCCATACAAACATACATACATTTCTGGATTTGGTCATGAAAACAAAACTGAAATAATTATAGCAGGCTTTCTTAAACTGTAGGTTGCCAAAAATTTTATCTGTTTTGATATTTCTTTAACTTATTATAATAACTTTACAATTACCAAATATTTTTACACAATGTGTCAGAAAATAGATAAAGATGGGGCAATACAGGCAAAGAAAAAAGCGAAAACGTTTTGATGCATTCTTTTTATAATATAAACGTTCATTTTACTTGCTTTGCACGTGACACTGTCATTTCGTTTGTTACTTATTTAAAATTTTTGCATTGTTCTGTATCTTAAAATTAGAAATTAAAGTTAATAACCTAAATCTGCAATAGTATATTACAGTACAAATGGGAAAATGGACAGTTTCACTCATGCGTGTGTCGGATGTGCGCAATACTTATGGGGTTCCACAAAATATTTGTCAAAACAAAATCTCGGTGATAAAAAGGGGTCACAACTGAAAAACGTTTAAGAAACCCTGCATAATAGGAAATATGGACGAATGAAAGAAGGACATTTCTTTGTTTGCAAAATTGCTATTTCTCATAGTACAAAAGTTCATGGCTTCGCAAGAAAAAGATAAAAGATTGTTCTCGGTTTCAGTGCTGCTTATTGAAATATTTGAATTATAACTGAATCCAAGCACAGTGGTGTGAAAATATGACAGTGACTGCATGACGGGTTCTTAATCTTTGAGTTACCATAATTAATGTGCTTGTTTTCTTCGTAAATTATTGCTGGCTTTAAATCACTACATTACTAGAGTTCATTAATGAACTCTTGGAATGTATTTTATAACTGTTATACATGAAATTGACTTTTACATTGTCAGCTTATTGAATATGCATTCATAAAAGTACTGGCAAAGCAAATTTTAATCTTTTACCATTCAGATGATATATAGGATATCTTGGAACATGTGCAGCAACATTGCGTGATATATTTGGATAGCTAGATGAAGTAAAATATCATTAGTACGATTTCTGTAAATTTTTTTATTTAAAACATACGTGACTTTAATATCCTAGGACTTCATGGTGCTTTTGAGTTAACATTTTTGATAAAATGTAGAAATAATAAAGTACACTGGGTGGCCAGTGTAGATGCTAAGAAAATAGAAAACTTATAAAAGCAGGAAAACTTAATGTCTTAGAATTAAAGAATTTTTTAAAGTAACTCAATGTTTTAAGTTTTCAAATTATGGGCACTTTCAAACGAAATGCCTAGAAGCGTAAATATGTGCTAAATGTGGTGAAGTTGACATAAACATTGGGAGTGTAAAGCTACTCCAAAATGTATTAATTGCAAAGAGGCAGATGGAAAGTATAAATTGAAGCTTAGTTGCTGCAAGTCAGTTATACAGGGTGATTCTAAATTACTTTTACAAATTAAGAGGAGTGATGGTATTCATCCAGATGAGCAATAATTACCATAGAACATAGGGTCGCATTCCACTCTGAGAGGCAGAAAAGAATGTTAGAATTCCAATCTGAACTTCCAACAGTGTTGGAAGAGCAAATGAACGAGACCAAGTGTTGTGCAATCATTTGAGTGACAAACTCACAGAGAGTTAAAACGGATAAAACTGAAAACCTGCCGTTTGAGTGTGAATTCGAGTGCAGACTTTGATGGGAAACACTCATATGCACATCATTGGTTGGCAAGGTCTCAACCTCGCAAATGATTGCAACTAGTTAATTATGTAATCAAGAGCTGAATATTGTCAGTTAACTCCAACGTCCACTGCATGCCGAGATTAGCATGAAAAGCTCATGCTGCGTTTTGCCTTTCAGAACTTCGTGTTCCATAGAAGGTAGCTTCAAGTAGAATGAGCGCAGCAGAATAAGTCCAGGAAGACAGGATAGAAGATGGCTAAGAGAAAAACAATTGCTGCCTTGATATCACCTTGATCTTACCTGTGGAAAAATAGAGTGTTTCATTCACGCAATGGAGTCGCACAGTATCAGCGGAATAAGAATACGGATGTTAAATGAGTATTATTGTACTCATGCAACATTTTCTTTGAGTGGAGCTCTGGATTACTTTTTAGTTGTACAACATTTTATAAACCTACAAATCACCATACTTATAACTAATTTAATATTAAAATTTACATTTTATTTCTTTTACAAATACAGATTATTTTCAGTTGAAAGATTCAAGCATGTAAAGCTTCACTACAGTCATGCTGTAAAGCAACATTATATACTTTTATAATCAGTCTGACCATGGCATTCTTTCTAATGAAATCTTCTGTTATCCTATGCTAAAATGTCTACCACCTCCATGCAGTGGCTTTTGAATGCTGAATTAACTAGCTTGCTGATCTTACCTGTTGCTGATCTAATTCTGGCTAATTCTACACTCTTAATAGGAGTTTTCAAAAGGAATTATGCAATCTTGCGTGTAAAAGATACTTTTTATTTTCAGTAGTAGAAAGTCATGATATCTTCCATCCATTTGTCAAGGATACATCAATGTAATTAGTAAATATTGGCCATCACCATTTTTTTGCTACAAACTTTTATTCTGTAATTGGCTACTAAATTGTCACATAAATCAACTAATTTTGGCATTGTATTGTTCAATAAAATGAGGCTAATATACGAAAACGTTTGTCTTTGCGTTCTTGAATAATGGGAAACATTTTTTACAAGCTGAATTTTTCTGAATGTTGAACCAACAGTTACAACCAAATTGTCGTTCCTTTGGATAAAAATTAGTGTGTTTTCTCTCTTCATATTGGAAATCATAATAACACCTTTCTTACAGATACATTTCGCTGTTTCTGTTGAGCACATTTGTATGTGGTTTTTTTAAAAAAAAATTTCTATAACACTATAAAACTTTTATTTTTTAGGTGACAGAGAAGATGAATTTTTCAGATGATAGAGAATATGTAAATCATATCTAATATTCCTTTTTTTATCCATTTCAAGTTTTCAATATGACCCCCACCAGTATCATTTCATAAATCAGTTTCATTCCAGTCATTATCATGTTTCTTCATAAAAAAAAAAAAAAAATCTTTGAAGAGCTTCTTCTAATGTAAGGTACTTTGTTCTAAGCATTTTTAAAGCATGGAATGAATATCAACCAGAGCATCCAAAAGCATGAGTGAAAGAGGGGAATAATTATTTCCCTGCTGACATTGCACCAGCCTAACACCTTTTTTCCCTTCCATCCCTAGACAAACAGCTGATTGAACGAATGTTCTTACATTATATAGAAAAAAGAAAAATGTGATGAGGTGTACTCGCTCTTCTTATCACAATCAAACTACAAATGATTGTCATTAAGATTGCTAACCATTTGAAAATGATTTGTATTGGTAATTTATCAATAGTCTTGCTGCCATTTATAAAATGGGTGTAATATAATATGCCCTTTTCATTATATGTATTAAAGATTATATATATATGTAATTTCTTCTTTCATGATATGTATTAAAGACTTATATTTTGATATGCTTGTGTACTTTTGTCATAGTTATTGACAAGTACATACAAAGTCTCTTATGTTACTTATATATCTCTTGTACAGAGTGGTTTACTGAAATTATTCCAGTAGCATTTTGTTTCTTTTAATATTTCATTCATGTCCTGATCTTGTCATACTTTGTCTGGGATTATTTTTATGTTATAAAGAATGATACATCTGTACGCAATTAGAAGTTTTCTATTCTTTTTGAAAATCTTAAGGTGACAAAAATTTTTATGTATATTTTAATTTTTTTTAAAAGAATATCCTTGTTTACATACATAGCATGTTAAAAATGATTCAGTAAAAATATTTTAGTATTTTTTTATTCATTTATGTTTAGCAAGATTAAATATTCAGTTTTAATGAATTTCAGCATTAAGTAGTAAAGTAGTCCATGTTAACTTGCTTTTCTGTTAATTTATTAATGTGTTGTTCTGTTCATATTTGCTTTTGTAAAAATTTGTTTGTATTTGATGTTTATAAAACTTTTATTTTAACTTTATTTAAACTTTTAATTTAAGAGTATTCATTAAATGCATTTAATTTTAGAACAAGAAAATTGATGAAGCTCGGCCATATTATGAGAAGCTAGTTGTACAGTTTCCAAGTGCTGGAAGATATTGGAAGTTATACATCGAACATGAGGTTTTTAATCTTATTCTTTTCATGATATATTGCTTAGAATTTTTTTCTCTTTATTATTTCAAACAACATGATGTACTTCAGAAAAAAGAAAAAAGTGCATCTGAATTAATAGGGTGTTTTAGAATTCAGTTATACGTAGGTGCTGCCAATACCTGATTTTGGTGTGATGAAAATAAAACATTTCTTATATAGAGGGGTTTAAAATGAAGATGTCTCATTTTTTTGAGTCATGTCTCTTTTTTACCTTTTTGAATGTGTGCTGAGTGAAAATGTGATGCTGAATGAAATCAATTCTTCTGTCCTTTTCTCTTTTCACTTAAGGGAACAATGATAGGTGAAATTAAGTGTCTAACAAACAGTTTACCATAACACTTGTTTTGAAGAAAATTTAATATTTTTCTAAGTCAAGTTAGACAGTTTTTAGAATGTTTATTTTAATTTTCTTATAAAATTTATTTTCACGCATATTAAAAAATCAGTTATTTGACATAAGTAGGTAATTTTTATGGTGCTTATTTGCAGTCAATGACAAATCTCTATGATTATTCTCATTTCCCTACGCATCATTTAATAATGTAATTCATCGGTGAAAAATTAAAATTCTGAGCAGTTCTCAGTATGTCATTAAAATAATATATCATTTCAATAATTGTAATATCTGCAAATATTATCAGTGTAGTTCACTAACACTGCACAGTAGTTGTAATAAAAGTCTTTAGAAATATGAAACAAAAGAATCAAGTCCCTTTCATTCTTAATGTGAAAACAGTCTGTAAATGAAAAATCCCATTACACATAGCTGAGGTTGCACATCTCTTTTTTAACAGCATTATTCATCTGCATCATATGCTATGCGTTCATTAATTTTCTAATTTTTTTTTTAAACTTGTGTGTAATATCGTTAAGAACATGATCTGTTTTATGCGAACTTAAAATAAAAATTGATCAAGTGCTTCGTCTTTCCCCCCCCCTTCTCTCTTTCATTTTTTCTCATCTCCTCTCTCTCTGGAAAATAAATTTGCATCAAAATTGAAACATTTAAAAAATTGTGTGAGATACAAAATATCCTTTCTTCTTTTCTATGTTAAAAGTTGTTTAACAAAAGGAATTAAACAATAATCTATAAAAATATTCATGTATAAAGCCATACGTACTCATTCTCAGTAACATAATTATGGTTACTTCATTTACTTTTTTTTTTTTTTTTTTTTGGCTTTTTCATTTTCTGTTTACCTACCAGTTAAACTTTGCATGCATACTTCATAATGGATTGTATAAAAACTATTTATGTAATTTTATACGCATTTTAACAGCAAGAAAGTAATTTGCAACTAGTTACTCAAAGGATTGCCTGAGTAAATTATATTTACCACATTACACTCTGATTAGTATACGCACAGCTTAAAATGAGTAGATCTCTGAGTTTGAACTTCATTAATTTTAACTAAATTTTTCCTTGCAGTATATTGTTAAATAATTGTTAGCTTTTTTCAGTAAACTGAGTTGCCTGCCTTTAACCCCTTAACTGGTTTCTTTGCACGGTATAATGAGCTACTCAAAGTTGGCTCCAATTTATTTGCCCTTTTAGTGTATGGGAATCAATATTTTCTCATTTTCCTTTTTAAATTTGTTCGTATTTTTAATGCTTGCAAAGCTATATAATCTGAATAGTTGGTGCGACTTATCCACATCATTCAAAAGGTTCCATTTAATTTATTTACTGTGAGACTGGAAATTCTGCTTTCGAAAACATTTGCTCTATTATATCCAAACCGTCTTGATTAATATTGGTAAATATGGAATTGAAAATAATTTATTTCCTAGATGATGAAATAAATTCTAATACAAATTCAGAAGTATATTTCAGTGATTTGCAGTCTTCAGCTGACTCGTGTGCAGTTAGCTCAGCATTGATGAAGAATTGAGTTCTAGGTATTTTTCTGAGACTGGTTTAAAATCCAACTGTTCTATCTCCTAAGTTTAATTTTACTGGTATTCCATCTGTACACATCCAAGCTGTAAGGATACTTTGAAAGTTTTACAGTTTTTTTTAAATATTCCTTGGTTCTTTCTTTTCCTAAGGATAAAATTGTGGAGACACAAATATGTGTGCTAACAGTGCATCATATCAAATGTGACTTCTCAAAAAGTTTTGAAAGAAATGGATATATTTTTTACACTGTGTAATAAGGAACCTGGAATTATCATTACTGAAGATCATTACTTATATTGATCATTACTTACATACATTCCACTTATGCACCTTTTTTCTTCAAAAGTTATGTTTTATTGTTGATTTCTTCTTTTGTTGTGCTGCCTACATTTTTTCTGATAACTCAGTTTTTGATACATAAAATCATAAATGGCCCAATTCAGTAAAGTTATGGCCAGTTATCAGATTTTTAAATGAAAAAGTTTATAAGCGAGATGTAAAAGTAGATGAGAGCCTTGTGCTATTCAAGGGTTGACTAGGATGAAAGCAATTTTTTCCACTATAAAGAGCTAGATTTGGAATAAAATGTTTTATTCTGTGTGAATCAATTTCCGGCTATGTGTAGTCTATAAAAGTATATGCAGGAAAAGATACGATTTTGAAACATAAGTATTCTGATCTCTGCATTTCATCACAAGTTGTCCTGACAGTGATGGATCTGCTACTTCATAAGAGATACTTCTTTACCAGAATTAACAAAATAATTTGTGTGAAACTTACACATACAGTATGCTAAGGTTGAAGTGAAAAGAAGTCTTGAGGGAAATACAGCAAAGATAACTGAAAGAAAGGGAAATCATAGAGAAAAAACGTTGCTTTCATGAAATGGATGCATTAAAAAAAAAATGCTTCATTGCTGTCTACAATTCATAATACTGAATTGGAAGAAATTTAAGTCCATCTGAAACTCTAGAAAAACCAAAAAATTGTAATGAATTGCACCAACACTATAGTAGGAGTAGAACACATGAATGAATATTTGAAAAATTTTGAAATAATCAAAAAAGGAGGGAATATATTATAGAAAGATTTTTTTTCACACAATTTTGATATCACTGTGTAAAATTCAAATGTCAACTTTAAGGAAAGAAAGAACACACAGTTAGAGCCAGTCTTGATTTTGTTGATTATGTTATTGAGAAATATCATTCTGGAATAAATTTCAGACATGGATGACCAGATACTGAGCCTAATCCACTAAGACTGACAAAGAGACACTTTATAGAAATTATTGCCCTCACAGTAGAAATAAACATGGAAGATGTATGCAGTTGACTGTTCCGAAAAAAATTAGAATGCGAAAGGAAACTATATTTTTCTACTGATTGCAACATAGGACTTGCACCATGCTTCATTGTACCATTCTCACACACACCATAAAAGGGAGAAGAAGAAGAGAGTAGCATTGGAAAGTATGTACTTGTAATTACAAGTAAGTTTGCTTTTGAAGAATTCTGTTAATTTGTCTTCATTGTATTGTTCTTTTTTTAGAAATTTAATAAATTTCTCTTCATTGTGTGTATAGAGTTTGATTGCAAAAAGTAAACATTTATGAGCTGTTTTTTTTTTAACACTGTAAAAAAGCATATGGTTTAAAAACACTAATTAGGAAATTTAAAAACAAAATTCTGTCATTTTCATATTCTATAGACTGTGATGTTTAATTATGTGCCCTTAAAAAAAGTATACATTTTGGGGAAACATTTCAGGTTAAAAAAATTGACTAGTTAAGGGGTTAACTGCATTAGTCAAAATATTGGTAAGTCAGGTATGTTTAGAATGATATTAAAATTAATTCTTTTCATTCTTTCTTAAGTGTAATATGATCCTTAAATCAAAGACATCACAACTTGAACATTTTAAATTAAAATACCACTAAGTATGTTATTGAAAGAAAAAAAGTAATACTGCCAAATAAAATCAAAGAAAACTTATCATTATCATAACACAAGATTTCATCTAATTGTGCATTGAAAACATGACTTCATACAACAAACAATGCTTTTTTGATATAACTAAAGGATTAAAAATTTGAATTTTCTTTAACTTTGTTTAGTATTTTTATGCATTATGAATCAAAATAAGTATTGTAGTATATGGACAGTAATTTCAATCTTGCATTTAAATAGAATCTTAATTGTATTTACATACATGCTCTTAATATATGCATATAGAATTCAAATGTAATGGGCAAAACCCTCTGTCCAGTTTTGACTTAGAAAATGCATTAACAGTGCCCATGAAATAAGACTTCTTAATCCTAATTTATTATTAAAATATTAAAGGAAAAATAGTAACATATGTTCAGAAAAAAGCTATTGGACTTTATCATTTTTTAGTTATATATTAAAAATTACAAGATAGATTTTTAAATGAATAGTTACCATCATTATATTTCTTACATTGCTAGTACCTTAAACTTAGCATGTTTGCAGTTTATGCATTTTTCCTCTTCAGCTGAAATACATGTTTATCAATTATATGCTGACATTGAGGCTTCTTTGTTAAAATTATATTATGAAGATGCAGATTAACATGTGCAATAATTTTATAGTACTTTCAAGTTACGTGAGGGATTTATTTAAAAAAATGTTGCTTTTTAAAAAATTTGAAAACAATTTTTAATAAGTTGTTTTCATGTAATGCATTCCTTTTTTTTTTAACCAAAATTGCCAATTTACTGTAATTTTTTTTACTAATTTTAAACCTTTTTATTTATTTATCTATTTATTGAAGAGTGTACAAAACTTAGTTTTTTCATGTAATATCTTTCTTTCTTCCTTCTAATGCAGAATACACTGTTTCCATTTTAATGCTATAAAATTTAGAAGAAATAATTCAAAGTGCGATATAAATTATTGCCTTATAATGTGGGAATATTCATACTTTTGAGTAGTCTCGTAATCCTTAAGAAATGATTTTTCTGACTGATATGCAATTAAGCGTGCATTAAAAAGTTATCAGAATTGAGAGATTTAAAAATGTAGTAAAGTGTCATTTTAGCCAG